ACACAAGGGCAACAGGTGAACACAATCAGACAATCAGACACACCAGGGAAACTAACGACAGGAAGGCAAACACAGGAAGAAGGAACAGAGAAGACACGAGGAGGAAAACATTTCAAAACAAAAGTGGAAAAAATAAAACATAAATACAAAACCCTAACACCATTTTTCTAATAAATCATGTTTCAGAGACAAATTCAGCATAGGTTTTACAAGTACACACATTTTTTTTTACAAGTACAAAACTTTTTCTTCTCACGGCGGAATATTACTGCCAAAAGTCACGTGACTTTTGGCAGTAATATTCCGCCGTGGTTGTGCTCATACACACTCACACAAGCCATTTGAAAAAGATAATTTCATTGTATTTCAAAATGGCATCCATCAACACAAGCACTATTTATAGAAAGAGAAATGGTAAGTTTGTAATTTTGTAATTACCAGTGTTGTGAGTTCAATATTTTTAATTAATTATAGAAAGGGAACATCTTAGGAGTTAGTGTAGTGAGTTTCAGAGCAGTGTCATACTTATTTGACCTAAAACTAAATGTTTTTAGGAATGTCCTCTGAGGAGGACATGGGGATTTGCTAACTTTTTATTTCCCCCATTTTACACAACACAAATGGAGTCCACTATGGGCCAAAACTAACACTTAGGTTTCTGTAGGGTTCATGGCAGACGGATGCAGTGGGAAAACATACATCAAGTGCCTCAAGTGTCAGATGTATCTCTGCATTTCAAAAAAGGATGGAGTTCTACAAATGAGGGCTCAATTTTTGTTGCATTGAGTTGTTGTGCTCTAATGTTGTCTAAATGTACTTGTATGTTAATGTTGTTCCTATGCTTCGCATAACTAACACCCGGTGTCCTCTACAAAGGACACACAATAAAACCAAAATAAAAATATATTTGTTTAGTTTTTGTTAGTCATGATGTTTATACCACCCTAAAGACTTGTGTGATCAAAAGAAAAAGCATGTGTAAGCAATTGGGAAAAAAAGAAGTAAATTCCTGACTTAGTTCATGGGACTCTTTAGAGTAGCCTTTACAGTAAACAATATAGTATATAGTAAAAACTCCCCCCCTATAGCCAAGTATGGAAACAAAATAACAGATATCTTATAAACATAAGGTTTACTTCACAATACCTTCACAAAGTGGATTTGGGTGCCATCCATCTCGGGTGCATGTGGCACTGCTGGCGCCACCTTTCCTCCTGTAGCCTGTCTCACACCAGTAACGTTCCGTCTCTCCCGATTTGAATGTTTGCTGCCAACGACTGTCCCATGAAGACACATGTGGGACTCCTTGTGTGCTGCACGTAACCTCTAGAATAAGAACATGTTTTGTAAATCTCAAGTAATCGAGACATGATTGATAACCATCATCACAGCTTATGAAATATAAAAAAATAAAACAGCATTCACAGCAGTATCATACCTTGGCATAGAGGTCTGATAGTCCACTCTCCGTCCTCTTTGCATGTAGTTACTACTGAGGTCGGTTGATACCCAAAAATCCAGTACTTGTCTTCACAATTTACTGTCACTTGGTCACCAGGTAGAAACGTGTTTCTATAAGCAGGTTCATAGCTGGTTCCTTTCAGCCCTGGCAGTTGTAGTTTACATGTTATTGCTGTATTTGTTGAAAAATAAACATATTATCCGTCAGAACCTATATTTATTGGTAAGTGTCACCAGTACACTGCATTACTCAGTTTTTACTTACGTTCACACAGAGGTGTGGGGCTCCCAACAAACATTACCCCAACACATTTTAAATGTAGTGTTTTTAAAAATAATTTAGGGAATGACACAGAAATAAACAGAATGAAAATGTCCCTTGAATTTTCAGTTAAACTGTAAATAATAATTGTTAAAATAAAGTGAAACAAACCATTTAGAAATGAATACTAGTCTCCAATAAAGAAAAATAAGATCACCCTTTAATGAGCAAAAATTCAGTTTTTGGGTGCTGAACATATTATCTTTGTTGCATAATACACATAAGCAAGAATACAAATGTATTTAGGAAAAGGCTAATTAAAAAGCCGTAGTGTGGATGCAGCCTGTAACAATGGGGTGTGGGAGGGCATGGTGGTATAACATCTGTTGCTGTTTTTTAACTGCAGGTTCATAGCTGGTTCCTTCCAGTGGTGGCAGGTATAGTTTACATTTTATTGTTGCACTGTCCGTCACAGCACCAGTTTTCAGTGGTTTGTCTGATATAACAAGTCAATTGAAGTTACTCAGTTCACACATAGGTTCACATTAAGTCCTGGATATGGTTTTATTCATATATAGAGAAACAGAGGGATTCATAAATAATTCCCCCTCTTGCTTACCTTCCTGTTGTAAAGACGTATCCATTTTAAGGCATAGTATAAAGAACCCAAGAAAGTAAAAATATGTCATTGTGAGGATCCAGGAATAGCTGTACTTCTGTAATTACTTAAATCGAGTCTTTCTACACAGTGGAAAGTACAAACAATTGAATGAAACTGTCTCAGGAACACGAGTACCTCCCCCTTACAACACGCACACACGCAGGCACACGCACACACACGCACACACGCACACACGCACGCACACACACACACACACACACACACACACACACACCACACACACACACACACACACACACACACACACACACACACACTCTCTCTCTCTCTCTCTCTCTCCCTATATATATGTTATTTGTATTATAAAACAACCCTGATATGGAAATAGTTTTTTCCACCGTATTTTGCAGTATTGGAAAAATAAGTATTTCATACATTTCAGCATGCAAACAATGATTTACGTGCAGGTTATATGAGTAAGTATAACACATAAAATATAAAAACTGTTTGTTCTCTTTCAGTTATTTAAAGAAGTCCACGAATTTGAGGACGACAGTCTGACCAGGGTTTAGAATAACTTGTCCTCCCCTTTTACCTTCTATAGGCTTATACAGTAATGATGTCTCTCTAAGGGGTCCCAACAAAGACCCATATCCCTCCAGTTCTCATAAATGTACACTGGCTTCCTGTCTGTGGAATAATATATTTCAAAATTACAACTTTTGGAGTATAAAGCACTGAATTGTGCAGATTACAGTAGCATGAACTGTTCTACAAATGTTGTCAATCTCTTTCCTCTGGTTTATCATTAACATGTTTGTCCAGCAAGCTCATGTCACTTCCAGTTAGCTCAATCGTTTACTGGCAGAGAGCAGGGTCATCACACCTTCAAAACATCGAACCGATCTCAATGTACCAAAGGGTATTCGTTTGACAGAGAGGGGCAGTGGTATAAAGTTACTAAGTAGATTTACTAAAGTACTGTACTTTAGTACAATTTTGAGGTATTTCTGCTTTACTTGAGTATTTCAATGTTTTGCTACTTTTTACATCCACTGCTCTACAATTCAGAGGTATATTGTATACTTTGACTCAACTACATTTATTTAATACCTTCAGTTACTTTGCAGATATGGATTAATGATGTGAAATATAATTCACACTTAAATCAGACTTTAGTTACACCTGGAGTACATTCACAAGCTACCCTGCAGTATACAGAAATAATTAAAACTAGCTGCACCTTTACCAGCTTTGATAAACACTTTAATACATCAATAATTATAGTCAAATCATATAATATATATTATTCTGAAAAGGGCCAGTTTGCATAATAAGTACTTTTTTGATGGTACTTCTACTTTTACTCAAGTACAAGATCTGAGTACTTCTCCCACATCTGCACAGGGGGCATTTGAAATAAAAAAACGGTTTGCAAGCAAGGTACATACTTTGAAATACTTATAATACTAGAAAGTATTGTCATCATCTACTCAATGACATTCTTAGAGTTGGAAAATAAAGATGGTAATAAGGAGTATTTACATATTTTCTCATAATACATATACAGTAAGGAAGGAAACAGACTGATTGAACGTGTATTTTCTATATATGCTCAATTTTTGTACTTTTATTTAGCATTCAAATGGTATTCAGCCAAATCAGGCCAGTCACTTTGAGTGAAATAACCCCTTCACTGGCAAGTGGGCAGGAGCATCACACCATCAACACATCTCATGTTCAATGTTCAATGTGCCGACAGGTCTTCCTCCTTCTTCTGATTTTGAAGTTTCAGGTTCCATATCTTCTCTTTTTTATGGTGCTTATGTTGTATATCTTATTATACTACAGAAATTAGGTCAACTTATAACATTATATAACAGTGTTTATGATCAGTATATATTAACAGTATATTGCAGTATATACTCACTGTATACCAGTACACATGTATAGTATATACAAGTATAAATGTACAGTATATAACAGTAGATTACGTGTATGGTGAAGACATAGCTTCAGTTAAGGTTTAATATGATCATAATGGTAACGTGTACCTCCAGCAGGTAAAGTGTACTTCTTGAAACTCCTTACCAGGACCATGATGTGTTACAGGCAGCAAGCCTAGTTTGTAATGAACATTACTCTTACTTTCAAAATGAACAAATCCAACTATAAAATATGTATTTGTCTATTTGTTGGCAAATGTAGCTCGGTAGATAGAAAATAGTTCCTACATGAAACTGCTCACAACCATGACTGCGGATTATTTTGATTTCTGGAAATAAACACTGCTTTTAAATTCTACATCTAAAACGTATCTATTTGAGGCTATGAGCAACACAAGCCGAGTGGCATCGAGTGCCATTATATTCAAGAAGAAGCAGACATCTCTACGGCACACCAAAACAATACAGACTGATAAAGTGCATTACAGGAGTGAAGAGAAATATGTATTTCTGTTTTCTGGGGAACTGCTGCTTAAAAACTGTTGAAGAAGCATTCATGGAAAATTATCTTTATGTTTAAGGAAAATCATTATTAGGAAACTTGGCCCAGTTTGGTTATTTATTGTGCTTTATTAATATTTTGGATATCATCTTTTTCCTCTTCATGAAAGATAAAGAGTTCATCTGAAAAATAGAGGCAGAAATCTGACCAAGTCAACATATTTGTTTTATTAGAATGACCACACAGAGCACTGGGTTACACACACTTGATTAGGAAAGAACTGGTCGAACTCTTTACTTTGGTTAATCATGTACATGTTTGTCCAGCTAGTTCATGGTCATCACATCCAGTTGACTAAAAAGCTTTAGTGGCAAGTAGGAAGGAGCATTACACCATCATTACATTTCTGACGCATGTTCAATGCGCCGTCATGTCTTCCCCTGGTACACATGAACTCAATTATATCATCATGTTCTGAATACATTTTATTGTTTGCAACATGTCTGAAGCCAATATTATGTGTAGTCATGTCTTGGCGATTCACAGTGCAGGGTTCTGCAAGAGAAAATGGATACACAGCATATTGTTAATACTTAAAAGTCATTCAGAGGGGCGGGCATATTGTTAATGGCAAATGACTATAACGCCTAATTCATACGTACTACAAATATATTTAGGTCTTGAAAACTATAGTCCAAAATGTAATCAGTATATTTTTCTGTTTCAATACTCACCATTCAAAGCCTTACTAGCTAGCATACTGGTAAACAGACAGGAAGTTATATTGCCTTATACCAAAAACCTCACAGAATAAAAATATGCAAATGAAATTGTAACTTACTGAGGCATCTCATCTGTCCAATCCATTCACCATTGGTGCAGGTTTTGTGAGGACCACCCTGCATTTTGTAGTAATTCTGACAGATGTATTTAACCTTGGCTCCGTTCCTGTACTCGTGTCCAACAGTTCCCTCAATGTCTCCATTTTCAAGGGGTGTTGGTTTTCCACAATCCGAAGAAGCTAAAAGCATTTGGGTAATGACAAAGAGAGTATTGGCATAAGCAGGTTGCAATTATTACATGATCTCTTACATGTACTGTTAAGTTGCACAAAAATAAACAAGGAGTGAGAGCACAGAGTAAGAATGTAAATAAAATGAATTAGAGGATATTGCAGTATCCTGTCATGGATGCATGGACTGCCCTGAGCCCAAAATGCAATCATTTATCTTTTAAAAAATGTCACATTTTTCTCTTGGCCTGAAAAGCTGGCTCTCTTGTTGGCACAAGGCACAAGGTGAACTGGCACAGGACAAAGGGAGACGAGGACTATATACAAGAGGTAATGGGACACAGGTGGCAACAATCAAGGGAGGGGCTGACAATCACATGGGGAGGAAGACACACAAGGGCAGGAGAGCTCTGAAACCAGAGGGAAAGGTAAGTACCAAAATTAAACAGGAAGTGCAATGACAGGACTAGACAGGTGAACAAAGAGACTTGACAAAACATGAAACAAATAACATGAACCTGATGAACTACCTTAATATGACATGAATACATTAGCAGACATGACGGGATGTTACAAAAACGTTACTTTATGACAGCACATTTATTCTTATTTGAGGTAAAACAGATGGTTTTCCACCTTTCGATGTTTAATTACTGTAATATATGTTTCTGTACAATTATTATACTATTCATGAAGCAACAAAATCAAGCAACATCTAATTATGCAAAAATGCTAAAAGAAGGTGAAAAATGTAAAGGGAATGTTAACTTACTGAGGCATCTCATCTGTCCAATCCATTCACCATTGATGCAGGTTTTGTAGGGCTCTCCCTCCATGATGTAGTGATTCTGACAGATGTATTTAACCCTGTCTCCGTTCCTGTACTGGTATAGAACCTCAATGTCTCCATCTGCAAGGGGTGGTAGTGTCCCACAACCCAAAGAAGCTAGAAGCATTTGGGTAATGACAAAGAGAGTATTGGCATAAGCAGGTTGCAATTATTACATGATCTCTTACATGTACTGTTAAGTTGCACAAACATAAACAAGGCTTGAGAGCACAGAGTAAGAATTGAAATACAATGAATAAGAGGATAATGCAGTATCCTGTCATGGATGCATGGACTGCCCTCAGCCCAAAATGCAATCATTTGTGACATATCTTTTAAAAGAATGTCACATCTAGTCAGTCTTTTCCCCCCATTCAAAGTATCTCTTTTAAAAGGCAATATTTAAGATAGGCTTTATTTACCTACACATACAGTACTTTGGACTGTGCTTATCTCTGACAAGTTCAAATCTAATATAACGTATGACACACATTGTTCTCCGTTTATCTACGAGTCAAATCTACGACTCAAATCTACGAAGATGAGGATTTCTGATATGGATTTTGTTAAACAACAGAATAGTAATAGTCTCATTTATAGAAATATAATTTTAAAACAATGATTACAACCCCTACACACATGCATTATTTCCACTGTATCTATCTTATCTTATCTTACAGTCTTTTTCAGCTTTAGCTCGTCATTGCTCTAAATCCCACTTACAATAAGTAAAAAGCATATTCAGTCACTATGGACTTGTTTTTCATTATAACACAATAAAGAGACAAAATAAGGCAATTGTAATTCATTTTCTTTTTGAATCAATATGGCAAATGTATAAAAGTTGTTTAATACATAAATGATTGATTCAGTCATTCCATTTCCAACAAGTGTATATAATAATACATGCATGATGTATTAAGATGATATATGAGTATGAGTAATGCACACTTAAAAATCACTTCCTTACTGATGAACAGATGCCAAAAAGACCATAGATTATTTTTAGGGGGGGTCCATTTGATTGGCATTTCTTTGGACCACCAACAAAACCAGCATCACTGTTGTTGAGCGGGAGCTGTGGGAGGGAATACATGTGTTCAGTATCTTCTAACCTTTCTCTAACCATAACCAAGAGAAACTAGAACCTAATCCTAACCATAACAAAGTTTGAGACGCTTTTTTATTTGCGATCTATAAACATAAATCAGTGCATCTTCTGCTTCACATCTTAATGATAATAATACATTGGAAACTAATTGTAGCATTTCTTAAGGAATTATTTTTCAGTTTAAATCATATGCCATTAATAAAGTTGTATGAACTTGAATTGAAAACAAAAGAAGTAAATTCCTGACTGTTCCTGTGCTTAGCTGCACTTAGTTCATGGGACTCTTTTTAAAAAATAAATAAAACAGCATTCACAGCAGTATCATACCTTGGCATAGAGGTCTTATAGTCCACTCTCCGTCCTCTTTGCATGTAGTTACTACTGAGGCCTGTTGATGCCTAGAAATCCAGTACTTGTCTCCACAATTTACTGTCACTTCGTCACCAGGTAGAAACGTGTTTCTATAAGCAGGTTCATAGCTGGTTCCTTTCAGCCCTGGCAGTTGTAGTTTACATGTTATTGCTGTATTTGTTGAAAAATAAACATATTATCCGTCAGAACCTATATTTATTGGGAAGTGTCACCAGTACACTGCATTACTCAGTTTTTACTTACGTTCACACAGAGGTGTGGGGCTCCATTCTGCTCTTACTCCTCGCTCTGTGCATTTGAAGATCTGGCTTCAGCGCGTCTAAATGAGGGTTTACACTGAAACTCCAGGACTTGATTTTCTATGTACTCTTGGATTTGTCCAAGGCACATCACCATTTTCAATCTCGGGTGCTGTACATATTATCCCTGTTGAATAATACACAAGCAAGAATAAAGATTTCTGAAAGGTCACCTATTATGCAAAATCCACTTTTTCATGCATCTTATACATACACATGTGTCCCCTCTGCGTAAAGAGATTCTGAGAGTTTCAGGAAAAAAGATTTGCTCACTTTTTGTCCTGATCCATTATATAAAAACCTGTCTGAAAATGAGCTGATCAGATTTCGGCCACTTTACAAGCCAATTACACAAGTTATTGGCTTGTGTAACCATTAGCCTATAACCAACCAAGGTAACACCCCCCCCCCCCTTATCACCTGAATCTCCTCCTAGAGCACCATTGTGTTCTTTTTAACTAAATATCTCTCAAAAGGGCGAGGGGAGTGGCTCCTTATTTTCATCTAAAGTAACAGACAGAGAATCAGCCCTTTTGAAACAGGGCTGAAACAGAGGGGTTTATGGGATGCTACAATGCATGATCTGTTTGGTGTTTGGAGCCAAACACTTCAGAGACATGTTTTGTATATGAATGAGAACTATAATATATTGATGAAAAACAGTATAATAGGGGAACTTTAAGGTAAAGGCAAATGAAAAAGCCATAGAGTGGAATGCGCCTTGAACAACTGGAGGGGCGTGGTGGTATTACATATTTTGCTTTTTTTACATTTTACATGGTGGTCATTATGTGCTTTTTGTTATGTTGGTGTTCTTGACAGGGTGATTAATAGTGTATGTGTGTCTGTCTACCTCTTTCCCTCTATTTTCAAATACAAATGTTTACTTTCAACAAAATATTTGTGTTTCTGCACATATCTCTGTCCTGCAGAACTATCTACATACAGAACAAAGTCCATAAGAAATTAGTGTGCTTTTGATTGAGCACCAGAGTTTGAAGTTGGTTGGAAAAAGTGTCTCGTATTTTAAATGAAGTGTGTGCCATTTGGTGCACACTTCAAGTGTTTATCCTCCAGAGACCCACCCATTCATTTTTGTCCTCTGTGGAGCACATTGGGTTTTGGTCCATTACTTTGAGCTTATACATGCCACAGCATTAAGTCCAATTGTACTCCACAGAGGACATCCTGGGCTTTCAAACATATGACATAATGTGGGGGTGTGGCTTTGAAAAAGATAATTTCATTGTATTTCAAAATGGCGTCCAACAACACAAGCACTATTTATAGAAAGAGAAATGGTAAGTTTGTCATTTTGTAATTACCAGTGTTGTGAGTTCAATATTTTTAATTAATTATAGTAAGGGAACATCTTAGGAGTTAGTGTAGTGAGTTTTCAGAGCAGTGTCATACTTATTTGACCTAAAACTAAATGTTTTTAGGAATGTCCTCTGAGGAGGACATGGGGATTTGCTAACTTTTTATTTCCCCCATTTTACACAACACAAATGGAGTCCACTATGGGCCAAAACTAACACTTAGGTTTCTGTAGGGTTCATGGCAGACGGATGCAGTGGGAAAACATACATCAAGTGCCTCAAGTGTCAGATGTATCTCTGCATTTCAAAAAAGGATGGAGTTCTACAAATGAGGGCTCAATATTTGTTGCATTGAGTTGTTGTGCTCTAATGTTGTCTAAATGTACTTGTATGTTAATGTTGTTACTATGCTTCGCATAACTAACACCCGGTCTCCTCTACAAAGGACACTCAATAAAATAAAAATATATTCTTTTAGTTTTTGTTAGTCATGATGTTTATACCACCCTAAAGACTTGTGTGATCAAAAAAAAAAAGCATGTGTAAGCAATTGGAAAAAAAAGAAGTAAATTCCTGACTGTTCCTGTGCTTAGCTGCACTTAGTTCATGGGACTCTTTTTTTTAAGAGTAGCCTTTACAGTAAACAATATAGTATATAGTAAAAACTCCCCCCCAATAGCCAAATATGGAAACAAAATAACAGATATCTTATAAACATAAGGTTTACTTCACAATACCTTCACAAAGTGGATTTGGGTGCCATCCATCTCGGGTGCATGTGGCCCTGCTGGCGCCATCTTTCTTCCTGTAGCCTGTCTCACACCAGTAACGTTCCGTCTCTCCCAATTTGAATGTTTGCTGCCAACGACTGTCCCATGAAGACACATGTGGGACTCCTTGTGTGCTGCACGTAACCTCTAGAATAAGAAAATGTTTTGTAAATCTCAAGTAATCCAGACATGATTGATAACCATCATCACAGCTTATGAAATATAAAAATATAAAACAGCATTCACAGCAGTTTCATACCTTGGCATAGAGGGCTGATAGTCCACTCTCCGTCCTCTTTGCATGTAGTTACGACTGAGGTCGGTTGATACCCAAAAATCCAGTACTTGTCTTCACAAGTTACTGTCACTTGGTCACCAGGTAGAAACGTGTTTCTAGAAGCAGGTTCATAGCTGGTTCCTTTCAGCCCTGGCAGTTGTAGTTTACATGTTATTGCTGTATTTGTTGAAAAATAAACACATTATCCGTCAGAACCTATATTTATTGGGAAGTGTCACCAGTACACTGCATTACTCAGTTAATACTTACGTTCACACAGAGGTGTGGGGCTCCATTCTGCTCTTACTCCTCGCTCTGTGCATTTTGAAGATCTGGCTTCAGCGCGTGTAAATGAGGGTTTACACTGAAACTCCAGGACTTGATTTTCTTTGTACTCTTGGATTTGTCCAAGCACATCACCATTTTCAATCTCGGGTGCTGTACATATTATCCCTGTTGAATAATACACAAGCAAGAATAAACATTTCTGAAAGGTCACCAGTACACTGCATTACTCAGTTTTTACTTACGTTCACACAGAGGTGTGGGGCTCCCAACAAACATTACCCCAACACATTTTAAATGTAGCGTTTTTAAAAATAATTTAGGGAATGAAACAGAAATAAACAGAATGAAAATTTCCCTTGAATTTTCAGTTAAACTGTAAATAATAATAGTTAAAATAAAGTGAAACAAACCATTTAGAAATGAATACTAGTCTCCAATAAAGAAAAATAAGATCACCCTTTAATGAGCAAAGATTCAGTTTTTGGGTGCTGAACATATTATCTTTGTTGCATAATACACATAAGCAAGAATACAAATGTATTTAGGAAAAGGCTCATTAAAAAGCCGTAGTGTGGATGCAGCCTGTAACAATGGGGTGTGGGAGGGCATGGTGGTATAACATCTGTTGCTGTTTTTTAACTGCAGGTTCATAGCTGGTTCCTTCCAGTGGTGGCAGATATAGTTTTCATTTTATTGTTGCACTGTCCGTCACAGCACCAGTTTTCAGTGGTTTGTCTGATATAACAAGTCAATTGAAGTTACTCAGTTCACACATAGGTTCACATTAAGTCCTGGATATGGTTTTATTCATATATAGAGAAACAGAGGGATTCATAAATAATTCCCCCTCTTGCTTACCTTCCTGTTGTAAAGACGTATCCATTTTAAGGCATAGTATAAAGAACCCAAGAAAGTAAAAATATGTCATTGTGAGGATCCAGGAATAGCTGTGCTTCTGTAATTACTTAAATCGAGTCTTTCTACACAGTGGAAAGTACAAACAATTGAATGAAACTGTCTCAGGAACACAAGTACCTCCCCCTTACAACACACACGCACGTACGCACGAACACACACACGCACACACGCACACACGCACACATGCACACACACACACACACACACACACACACCACACACACACACACACACACACACACACACACACACACACACACACACACACACACACAACACACACACACACACACACACACACTCTCTCTCCCTATATATATGTTATTTGTATTATAAAACAACCCTGATATGGAAATAGTTTTTTCCACCGTATTTTGCAGTATTGGAAAAATAAGTATTTCATACATTTCAGCATGCAAACAATGATTTACGTGCAGGTTATATGAGTAAGTATAACACATAAAATATAAAAAAAGTTTGTTCTCTTTCAGTTATTTAAAGAAGTCCACGAATTTGAGGACGACAGTCTGACCAGGGTTTAGAATAACTTGTCCTCCCCTTTTACCTTCTTTAGGCTTATACGGTAATGATGTCTCTCTAAGAGGTCCCATATCCCTCCAGTTCTCATAAATGTACACTGGCTTCCTGTCTGTGGAATAATATATTTCAAAATTACAACTTTTGGTGTATAAAGCACTGAATTGTGCAGATTACAGTAGCATGAACTGTTCTATAAATGTTGTCAATCTCTTTCCTCTGGTTTATCATTAACATGTTTGTCCAGCAAGCTCATGTCACTTCCAGTTAGCTCAATCGTTTACTGGCAGAGAGCAGGGTCATCACACCTTCAAAACATCGAACCGATCTCAATGTACCAAAGGGTATTCGTTTGACAGAGAGGGGCAGTGGTATAAAGTTACTAAGTAGATTTACTAAAGTACTGTACTTTAGTACAATTTTGAGGTATTTCTGCTTTACTTGAGTATTTCAATGTTTTGCTACTTTTTACATCCACTGCTCTACAATTCAGAGGTATATTGTATACTTTGACTCAACTACATTTATTTAATACCTTCAGTTACTTTGCAGATATGGATTAATGATGTGAAATATAACTACACTTAAATCAGACTTTAGTTACACCTGGAGTACATTCACAAGCTACCCTGCAGTATACAGAAATATTTCAAACTAGCTGCACCTTTACCAGCTTGATAAACACTTTAATACATCAATAATTATAGTAAAATCATATATATATTATTCTGAAAAGTGCCAGTTTGCATAATAAGTACTTTTTTGATGGTACTTCTACTTTTACTCAAGTACAAGATCTGAGTACTTCTCCCACATCTGCACAGGGGGCATTTGAATTAAAAAAGACACTCACACATGCTCACTCACACATGCTCCACGGCAGCAGGGGGCGCTACTGAGTCCATTGGGAAGGCGGGAGGTTGAGCAGAGCATGGAACAGCCCTTGCCAGCCTGATGACAGCGGTGTTTTCTAGCGATCCAGCGATCTGAATTTAGCGATCACAACGAAAACAGCCAAGACACATATTGAGCCCAGAAAATGAATGTTATTAGGGCTGTAAATATAATAAGCCTTTGTCTAAAATGGACAACATTGTAACTAAGGAGATTTAAACTATACAGTGATTCTGCACTCGGTCAATCAGCTGCTCTTCATTTTCTTTCCTGCTATATTCAATGAGTGATACAAATATTTTTTACCATACGTTCTGAATAAAACTGATACTGTTGGACTCAGTACTAGTTGACTGCTACCAGAAATAAAAAGGAAGTACTTTACTGTGTACTTTGTGAGTAATCCTCTATCAGAGTCCCCTCCATAGTACATAATGCATGTTTTCTGCTATCTTTGATGAATGATAAAAATAAAATGTTACCATTAGTTCTTAATGAAATTGATACGGTTTGACTTTGTATTAGTAAGCCTACTACTAACAATACATTGAAGTACTTTTACTGTGTATTTTTTGAAAAATACTCTGTCAAAGTCCCCTGCTGAGAACAAAATGCAGGTCTCCCTTGAAAAAGAGATCTATGATCTCAATGGGACCATCTGGTTAAATAAAGGTTTGAATTGAATTGAATTGAAAATCAAGCCACTTCTGCTAAGTTTGATGAGGGAATTCTTTTTTGTTGCCATTAGTTCTTCGTGAGATTGATCCTGTTGGACTCAGTACTACTGAAACTACCCCCACAAGTACTATGAAGTACTTATTGTGTACTTTTCCAGTAATCCTCTGTCAATGTCCCCTCCTGAGTACAAGAATGCATGTTTTTCTTTTAATAAGCGTTAAAAAACATTTCTTCCTGAGACTAATATTGTTGGACAGAGTATTTTAAGAGGATGGTAGACATGATATCAGCAATACTTCCAGTCAGTACTCTGGCAGCAGCATTTTTACACCTTGGAAAGTCTTTAGAGTCTGGCCTGGAATGGATAGCTGGTCACAAATATCCTTCAGCAAAGTAACACACTCTGTCACATGGTTGCCCTCTTATGATGCTGCTGTCTTTTAATATATAAGTATTCCTCTGCCGCTAGTTCGTTCCTCGCAGATTCTTCAGTCTCATCAGCCTCATCCTTCCATCAGTCCACCAGTCGCCTCCAGCACACTTCCAGTATCTGACTCCATATGATATTGTCCTGATGCTGTAAGGGTGATGCCCCATGATCACAAAATGATCCCTCTAAAGTCTGAGTGCCAAGGACCTCATATTATGTCTGTCATTAATGTTACATCACCCATTATAACAATTTCTTTCCTTTTTTTCTCTTCTCTTAACTGAATAGTCCTGTCTTTAAGTATAACCCAATGTAAAGTCCTTTTCCTGCACCATTTTAAGGCTTCATACTGTATGTGTTTGGAGAAATAACACAATCAATGGCCCAGAATTGTACTTTATAAACTATGAATCTTGTGTTGCTTGAAGAAATACAGACGGGTTAAGCCGGCCAGGTTATATATATATATATATATATATATATGCCTTTTTTGGAGCCGTAACAAAAATGGGATAATTGCCATGGATGTGGTGTTTGATATAGTTTACGTTCAATTTTAACTATTTTAGGCAGAAAAACTTATATTGACGAAACCTTTTTTAATAATTTACTATAATTTAGAAAGGTTTTTGTGAGAAATCATTTCAAAAGTAAACTTATTTTTCATTTTATATTTCAATTTGAAATGTTTGCACACAACATTATTAATTTATACATTTTTATAAACATTTTAAATTATGAATCCATTAATTGTATTGTATTTCCTTGAGGCTGGGGAAGATATCCAGCATGTGGTTCAACATGTAATACAAGTAAGTATATGTACAACATGGAAAAGTAAATAAAATAAGTTTAATAGGAGGATGTGGATTTATTTCTCTCACCTTGTAATTACACAATCAAACAATCTATAATTTAGCTCTGACCTTCACAAAAACATTTTGTTGAATTGAACACATTTTTCCAAGCTCTATTGACAGACATGCAATGACTGGGACTGATGGAAGAATCTGAGAGGAATGAACTAGGAGCAGAGAAATAATCATATTTAAAAGACAGAAGCCTCATAAGAGGCTAACAAAAGTCACAAGGGTGTGTCACTTTGCTGAAGGATATTTGTGACCAGCTATCCAGGCCAGACTCTAAAGACTTTCCAAGGGGTAAAAATGCTGCTGCTGGAGTACTGACTGGAAGTATTGCTGATATCATATCCAATGCAATTCCTGCCTTTTTTGTTGCTAAATTACATCCTTCTGGTGTCTGTGGTTATTTAAACATTCCCTGATAAACGTTATTCAGCGTCAATAAATGAGTGCTAATCCCAGTGTGTTTAGTGTACAACATCACATGTCATTTCACCTTCAATTCACGGTTTCAAAACGTTAGCCACATGCTAATGCTAACCGGAAATGAAGGATTTTCTGAATAAAACTGCTTTTAAGCTGACGGAATGTTTAAACTAAATTATGCCATAAAACATTGATTTTAATTTCTAACAATCCCTCCTTTCACACCTTTAAGGTGTGAACACAATACTGAAATCAATGAGTTCTTCATAAGACTGCTTTTAAACTGACGGTATGTTTTAGACTAAATTATGCCATAAAACATTGATTTTAATTTCTAACAATCCCTCCTTTCACACCTTTTAAGGTGTGAACACAATACTGAAATCAATGAGTTCTTCATCTGAACTTTGCATAGTACATAACTCATATCAAAAACATACTATCAAAATGGAATGGTTCAAATAACCGTCATCAAAAATACAAAAAATGCTTCGGTTGGTCTTCAACATAACAGTTTTCCCTTGTGCTTAAACTTCTAGTTTTAACATTCAATATCACTTTTCAAAATAGCAGCAATTAGCTTGGTATTTGAACATTTCTTTCTCCCTCCTTTCACAGAAAACCGTTCTCATACCACATTCAGTGTTAAGGCACTTGTTCTTTTACAAAATATAAGGATTAAACTATCTGAAAATAGCTAAATATTACTCTTATCCTCTTCAGTTTTTTTTGCATACACCCCCTTTTTCAACTAAATTTTAGCGCCATTCTATCGGTCTGTTTTTATCTAACTGTGTCATCTTGTTACTGTGTCTCTGGTGTAATTTATGAATCTCTGCTGGTTACAGCAGATATAGTTCTCCCCATCCACATTCTTGTTGGTTATGGGACAGAGGAATAATAATTCAGAACCTGCTGATATCTGAATCTTACTACTTGGCATATGTTACAAACAAAATAAAACATCTTCATGGTGAACTAAATAACATATTTCAATAGCTCGGAAATGTCTGATGAGCATCTGTGTTATTCCTAAATAAAATCCTTGTAATCTTTCTCAAATCTAAATATAACAATGAACTATAAGACACACACTAACATTATGTAATACAATTTCATTATGGATTCAAAAACAACTGAAGTCATGATGCTGTCAGAGTGTGGTTTCCTGAGTGTATCTGTCCTGTAAGGTACGTCATTCTCTGCTTGGATCGTGTGCAGAAATCCCATCAATTTCACCTGG